CAAAATATGACTTATACAATCTTAGCACTGTGCCACAACAATGATGTTTGACCTGTGGGAGCAGACTAGTGTCCTTATTATTCCTTTTTCTCCCTAGCCCTACCTATTGAGTCCAGAATGTCAATATCAGCTTTCACTATACATACATTTCAAACATACTTGATTTATATACCAGCCACAAAGACCGCATCACATCATAAAATAGGAAATAAGACATGTACAAGATCAAGCCAAAAAATGGCTGGGATTATAGGAGATTGTAGGTAATAAACTGGGCATAAATTAAGAATAGTAAATAGTATAATAACAGTCTATAGGTAAAGTAAAGCTTATATTAAGAGGAATATGAATATATTTAATCTAGGCACTTAACAATTATGCAAACAGAATATATGTATAGTATTAGTTCATAAACAATTACCATTGATTATTCTCATCGGGATATAACAGAATTAAGATTTATGTGGATATTTTGTATTTGGATTCAATGTTAAATGGTTTTTACAAAAATTCCATTTAATCATTCAAAAGTTGGTTAGTTATATTACTGAATTCCATACACAGAAAATAAATTAGGAAAAATGATTTATTCATTAGATTACCTACTACATTTTGAGTTACTTTAGGAAAGATGTGACTGAATTCATTTGGTGTTGTATTTACTTGTATCTTCCCATTGTTATTTAAGACTACAATTGATTAGTCTCTTATTGGAATATGTGCATCCTGTGCGTATTGCCTCGATATAGTCTAAAGTCACAAGTTTTTTAAACAAAGATGGATGATGGCTATCAATTGAATCCACGACGCACGTTTCGTCCTCTTTTTTTGGACTCGTCAACTGGATGTACCTGTATCTCAGAGTTGATGTTCACTCTGAGACTCAAACCCAGTATCTTTCGCTTCAAACGCCATCGCGTTATCCACTTAGCTACTAAGTCCTATTATCCATCTGCTTGTGCAATGAGGTGAAGTTTAAATTCATTTTGTTTAAAAAGATATGACTTAATGTTACAAAGAAAATTTTGTAAATCTGTAAATCATCTTGATTAATTTTCAGCTAAATCAAGACAGTACTTCAGTTTCATTGTTAACATCACATAATGACCCATGTTAAGCAATCATCGAAAACCATAATACACTGAAACTCTATGATAATTCTCATCCACGATTCTCCTACCAGAGGTTGAACCGTCTGTCACCGGCTGTAATTAACTTATCCTCTGAACCATTGAGGTAAAGAAATTTCAAAATTTCCCATATATCTTTACATTCAGTAATTTACATGTTAAGAATCAAAGTGAATATGAACAAGATTGCATTTTTATTCTAGTTATGAATTTTATAACTGACAGATGTATGATTATAAGTTACTTGGTACCACCTGAGTATTTATTACTTTAATTAATGATAAATCATACAAGTAAATGAACAAATTATTATCTATAGACATTCACCCTGGGGGGGAATAATATTCTATAAGAAAAAAAAATATCGTTTATTTTCTATGAATAATATGGGAATGAAACGAATGTTTTTTAACAACATCATGGGAATAAGTATGTTCTGTTTATAAGGGTCGTTTAGTACATTTGAAGCTTACATTAATACTTTGTAATATAGTAAAAATAGATAAATAAGTAAATGATACTACTTATCCATCTATATATATATATATATATATATATATATATATATATATATAGAACTTTTATCTATAAGTTCTTTCTACCGTTTACCCGCTCGAAATGCAAAATGTTGCTTTAAGATTGGATTGCATCGGCACTTGAACTTATCTTAAGAGTCACATCAGCCCTTGTGATTTGAAGTGTGACGAAATCACAACATGGATACAGACGACTCGATTAGCTCCTGGAAACTTGTGTCATTTATGGCGTAAGCGAGATAGCCGTCTACCAATCAAAGGGGGGGGGTCTAATGCTCAGCAGTTCATTCCGTCCTAATTTATAGTAGTGAAACATGGCTAGTAAGAGTAGAGGATATTCGTAGGTGACTAGTATTCGATCAAAGGTATCTTCGAAACATTGCTTGTATAACCTGGGACCATCGAGTAAGTTATGTAGTTGACAGGGAACTGGTACTTAGTAAGGATGGCAAATCAATTGATGAGGTAGTGAAACTTCATCATTTGAGATGACTGGGACATGTGTTGCGTATACCCAACCACCGACTACCCCAACATGTGATATTTCATGGTGTAGGAGTAGGGTGGAAGAAAACTAAGGGTGGAAAAACCAAAACCATGGCACAAATCCATGAAGTCACTGACAAGTGGATTGTGTGAGCCATATTAGTAGGTGTAGACTACCTGGTTGGAATCCATGAAATGATAGCAACCGATGGTTAGAGACCTTGAATGACATGGCTCAAAATCATTTGCAATGGCTCGCTCAGGTGCATCCACTCTTTGTGTTCTCCCAATTTCTAATCTTCTGAATTCTTCCTGTCCCTTTCTTTTTCTCTTTTCAAATTTATTTCACTATATTACACTCTTTGAATAACATCATCAAACCCTAATCTTTCCGATTATTGCTTATATTCTTACTACTTCTATTACTATGGTATTTGAATGAACAACCACATCTCTGTGTTAATGTGTAATGGCAACTTGAACTGATATGCATACGTACGAAGTTCCACGTTGTTACTGACTGTCTGACTGACTGACTAACTGACTGACTGACTGACTAACTTACTGAATGGCTTTGACAATAATCTAAATTGTTTTTAATCATTCATTATTATTCAATATTATTTTGATGCTTATTCTAATTGAAATGAATTGATAAAGTGATAATATGACAGTTTATTCATTTCATAATAGAATTTTTATACATAGTTATTACAACCCTAACATATGTTTTCAGAATAAACAAAACAAACAAACAATAGTACTCTATTTAATATCAACTAATTCATACATCAATGTACTTTTAACATGAAATTCACAGTTTTTTCTTTTATACAAGAATATATTTGCCAATGGTTATTAACCTTTTTAACATTTCACTCCCTTTATAGTTTAGATATTATAGCAATTTTGTTTTAAAGGTTAAGTTCATACATGAATGTACTTGTTTTTTTTATGTACAATTGAAGTATTCTGAATAAAAGAAACATTAAACAAGATGAATTACTTACTTACTTACTTACTTACTTACTTACTTACTTACTTACTTACTTACTTACTTACTTACATATGCCTGTTACTCGTAATGGAACTATAGACCGTCGACGAGTATTCTTTAACCTACACTATCCTAGGAATTACAAGAATAAGAAAGTATATATTTAAGAAAAAAAAGATATAGTGTTTCAAGTATGAAATTAAAAAGAACTACTGTTTCGTTAAATTGTTTCTCTTTTTCTTAAATGATTTTGTAATGTCAGTTATCATATGTTAAGCGCATATACCTTATTATAACATTCGGACAACCCATTCTATTCATTCTATTTGAGTCACATTATAACCTTGTTAGTTATTCGCTAATCAATCTTGACTGTTTTTATATAAGCGCGTAGTTGTGTGTACACTTCTTAGCCCATTACTCATCACATGCCTGTAACTTATTTTTGTGTGCCTATAAATATTGATTAACGCATGGTTAAAGCGGAGTTGGCTTATCCACCATTTCCACTGTGCGTTGTTTCGCTTCTCTCTATTCCATTCGCTTTATATACAAAATATATGTCTTGAAAAGTGCATTCTTGTTATTTGACTTATTTAATTCGGTTATTGACTAATACGATTTAAGTTGATGTATTATATACGACGATAGGTGACATATATATATTTCGACAACGATCATTCATGTGATTTACTTGGAGTCAGAACTATTAATATAAAATAAATTCTGATTTAAATTGGTCAATTCAATCATATCTAACTATAAAACTTGGTAGATTAAGTTTGGTACTCATTGAAAGTATTAATACAGAAAAGTCTACATTCATTCAGAAGAACTATATGATCAGCAAAAACCTCAAGTAGGATTGAAATGTTCCAAGTTTTCTACATATGACTCATGTTTTGACTTGTAAACTTCGATCTTGTTTGGTAGGCCAACAATAATCAATCAAGATTGAGGACTACAGGACAAACTATGGATCGTATATGAAGAAATTCCAACACTTCACTTCCACTTAAAGTTTGTATTGATGATGTTGTTCATAAAAACGGTGAAAGCACAACAACCAAAACATCCAACTCAGAGAACAAAACTACATCAAAAAGTACTCATAAAATTCAGGATCAATGAACTTAAAACAGTTATTTCTATTTTTAGTTATGTAAAAATTCACTTGATATTGTTTAACTTGTTTCTTCCTATTGTTACTTAGGACCGTAATTGATCAGTCTTTTGTTGACATATGTGCATCTTGTTTTGATTCCCTCGATATAGTTTAAAGTCACAAGCTTTTTAAACAGAGGTGGATAGTCGTTAGCAGTGGAATCCGGGACGCATGTTTCGTCCAATTTGGGACTCGTTAGGTGGATGTAACTGCATCCAAGAGTTGATGATCACTCCACTGCTAGCCACTATCCATCTTTGCTTAAAACGCTTGTGACTTAAGGCTATATCTAGGCAATTCATACAAGATGCACATATTTCAATAAAAGACTGATCCATTGCAGTCCTAAATAACAATGGGAAGATACAAGTAAAACATCACAAGTCAGTTTAAACTTCATCCCATTGTACAAGTAAGTGGTTATCACGACTCAGTAGCTAAATGGATAACGCTATGGTATTTGAAACGTATGGTAATTGGTTCGAGTCTTAGAGTGAACATCAAGTCTGACGAATCACAAATAGGACGAAACGCGCACCGTGTATTCCGCTGCTAGCCACTATTAATCTTTGCTTATTGAGTAATCTAACATTTTACTTCATTAAAATTTATAATAATTCTATCACACTACTCCAAATTGTATTGGAAATATTTAGTATATATATTTCTATATGTTTACATTTTAGTGTATTTTTGAAGCAACAACTGTAGATGATTTTTGTGAAGAATTAAAAAATTTTGCTAATAATGAATGGAAATTATTAAATCAATTAAGAAATTACATTTGTACTAACAATATTACTACCAATACAACAACAACAACAACAACTACTACTATTACGACTACTACTACTAGTACTACAACTAGTAGTACTAGTAGTACTAGTACTCCCACTACTACTTCCACCATAGATAATAATGATACAACAACAACAAAAGCAATAAACATTGTTACTACCTCTAATAATAATGATCACATTGTAGAATCAGACAACATTCAATCCAATACAGAATTAAATGAGGTAAGTTCATCAATCTACAATAATGAATAATTCTATTTAACATAATATTATATAAATTCTTCTTTATTAATGTTCATTTGAGTAATCAGGTTAATATAATCATCTTTTAAACAAGAATGTTACTGTTATATCCTAGTGAAGACCTATTAATGGATTAATATTATTTATATATCCTTATAGTATAAATATTCAGTAACTAGATTGTGTATATCTATATTCCCCTTGTTATAAGCTTTATTTTGACCTATAGATTATTATTGTACTATTTACTGTCTTTAAGTTATGTCCAGTTCATTGACTACTGTCTCCCATGTTCACAGCCACTTGTTGACCTTATTGTGTATGAATGTTATTTCCTATTTTATGCTTCGTTGCAGTTTATTTGTTTGATATATAAACCCAGTATGTTCGAAATATATGATTCGCATAGTTGAGGCTGTTGTTGACATTCTGGACTCAGTTGGGCGGGCTAGGTGAGCAACGGACCAATAGGACGCTAGACTGCTCATACCGGTCGAATCTCATTGGTTTAGCACAGTGCAAAGATTCTATAAGTCGTATTTTGATTGGCGGATAAATCACATGATAACAAGCCAGACATAAATTCCTAACAGTTACCAGATGAATTTAGACTGCTTTCAACATCTTGGTTACCTGTTCCTATCATCTAAATATTTCAACAAGTTATCTAATTTTATTTATTTTAATACATCATTATGGTTATTAATCACATAACCTATTTAGGTGCGTTTGTAAAAGGTGTAAAACTTTTTGTTGTACAAGTTACATAAGACTTAATCAGAGATATTGTGGTTACTGTCAATATGCAACGAAAAGTATGTACATTATTTCGATGTCGATTTACTAGACTTCTAACATCTAACTGGTGATCACTCAATATTTATCACCAGGATCGACCAAGAAATAAGTAACGGAAACTTGTTGAAATACTTTGTGCTGAGAATTGTACTAAAAATATAATGTTGAATAAAGCCACTAATAATAATGATAATAATACTGATCAGACACATCATTTTTGAAATATTTAATTGGGTTAAGTAGTTTTAAAAAAAATAAGAAAATAGACTGCAAACTAGTACTACGGAATTTCGTGGATTGATTGATGTTAGACACTAACACCATTGGATAACGGCTCAGTGATCCAGTAGGTTAAGCGTGCGCGTGCGAGACTGAAGGCTCTGGGTTTGAATCCCGCGAGCGGGATCGTGAGTGCGCACTGCTGAGGAGTCCCGTACTAGGACGAAACGGCTGTCCAATGCTTCCAGATTTCCAAAAGTGATCTAATATCAGTCGATTCATAATCTCAATCAAAAACTTAATAATCTCCACAACCCCAATATTGATAAAAAATATTATACAGATGTGTAATATTTAAGTAAATAATACGTTTACTTGAATGTTATTATCTCTGAGTATTTGTCTTCAGATAAAATCGATAAATGAATGAGAATATGTTTGACATTGTTATGTCCCGATAGGTGTAATAAATGGTAACTTTTGGGACCCATTTATGGATCAATACTATACGTATATTTTTGTCATATGATTGTTAAATAACTAAACTATTCATATTCATGTCTCCCTTATTATGTGCTTTATTTCGATCTATTAACTATTATTATACGATTTACCATTCTCGAATTATGCCCTGTCTATTAATTACTATCTCCTACATTCACAGCCACTTTTGGCTAATTCGTGTACAAATGTTGTTTCCTATTTTATGGTATGATGTGGTCCGTTTGATTGGTATATAAACCCAGTATGTGTGAAATAAATGATTCATATTGCAGAGGATGAGATTGGTGTTCTGAACTTAACTGGCTGGGCTAGGCGGAAAGCAGGACCAATAAGGACTCTAAACTGCTCGCACGGGTTTTATGTGTGATTGATCCGATAGATAAATCACTGTTATCTAATTAGCAGTATCATTACGTTATATATCAATAGGGCATAGGGCCACAAGTTATAACAGACATCAAAAATAGATCCAAAAAGCTATCCTATGTCTGAATATACAGATTCTTATATGTTATTTTACATTTATCATTAGTTATATTTGTTTAATAATTGAATTCGTAAGCCGTTGAAAGCTACACCATCATGGAAGACTTGGGAGCACTCTACAGCCGTTTCGACCTAGTGCTCATCCACGATCCCGCTCGTGGGTCTCGAACCTATGATCTTCACTCACGCTCGCGAACGCTCAACTTCCGACGGTGTTAATGTTTAATTTCAACCATTATTATAACAAATGATCAAAATATGTAACATTTAACCTTGATTCATCAGTAATTTAATGTAATAGTACAAAACACACAATATTGTAAAATCAAAATATCACAATAAGCAAAGATTACTTATTTACTGAGTTGTATAATTACACCCTGTTAACATTATTCTCCTTTGTAATTGAATTTATGTGAATTGGTCTCTTGTTGTGTATCAATTGGATATGATATCGTTATTTGTTTCCTCAATCATTTCGTTGGTGTTAGTTACTATAGTTTGAACCGACACATTAACATCTTGGATTATCCGTTATCAGAGACTAACTGATCAGCTGATAAATTTTTTTGAACGACTTAAATATGTTAAAATCCCCTGTTCATTTATAAATGACTGATCACTAGGTAATTGTTATTGTTACGTTTATCAAATCATTCTTCGTACAGATCGAGTCGTGTAGGTCAAGTTGTAATATAATCTTTAGTCTAGGTAACTCGAAATCGCATGCATTTTGTTAAGATATTAGTTCATGCCCCGGAAAACTCAGTTGTATCAACTCTAACTATGAAGCTGGATAACAAAGGATCGAATCCGTTAGGCAATATCAGTTTCTCTCAAGATTACAGGTACTCATTTTTGATGAATGCCAAATAGTATTAAGCATAGATCTAGTGTTTTCTGTCGATTAACTCCAATCAACTCCTTATAACTTATCTATTTTTTTTTTGTTTCTTTGGTTGTTACATCTTATCAGTTGTGATAATAAAAAAACTGAACAAGGATTGTGTTTCCACATTTTAAATTTCATTCTTCATATATGTTTTTCATTGATCATTATTCTTTTAAATTAGAATGTACACAAATCAGAGTATAGTTTGACCAGTTTCTGTTGTTATGTTTCAAAACACAATTCCATATATTTAACTTGAAAGGCTTTAATTATTATTATTATTATTATTATTATTATTATTATTATTATTATTATCATGATCATTAAATGCGGAATTATTACACTTAACTTACTTGTTTTAAATTTGTTTTGAATGAATAACTATGGTTACTAACTGTAAGTACTTATATGGTATTTAAAAAGGATCACATCTTGTTATGCAACTAAATACTAGAAACTTTAAACACCTTATATGATGGGATAATATTTTACTATAGAAGCTGAACTGGTTGTAGTGTGTCGCTTTATTATGTTTTTATTATTATTATTATTATTATAAGCTTTATTCAACATTATATTTGTGGTACACTATTGAATTCTCAGCATAAAGTATTTCAACAAGTTTCCTTTTCTTATATCTTGATCGATCCTGACGATAAATATTGAGTGATGGCCAGTTAGATGTTAGGAGTTCGATAATCGACATCTGAATAATGTTCATTCGTTTCAATGCATATTGCAAACCACCATGATGTCACTGGTTGTACCTTTTTGTAATCCGTACAGCGAAAGGTTGTAAACTTTTCGTAAACGCGCCTGAATAGGTTGTGAGCTCAATAGACATAATAGTGTGTTTAAACAAACAAGAAAACAGATAACTTGACAAAATATCTAGATGGGAGGAACAGGTAGCCCAGATATTCAAGCAGGCCGCCGAGATGTTTAGCCTATATATCTTATTCTAGCATTCGGACAAACCAATCTATTCATTCTATTTGAGCCATATTCTGACTTTGTTAATTATTCGCATGTCCAATCTTCACTATTTTTATATGAGCCCGTAGGTGTGTGTACACTTCTTAGCCCATTACTCATCACATGCCTGTAACTTATTTTTGTGTGCCTATAAATATTGATTAACGTTTGGTTGAATGAGATTTGGATTACCCATCATCTCCACTGTGTGTTGTTTCACTTCTCTCTATTCCATTCGCATTATATACAAAATATATGTCTTGAAAAGTGCATTCTTGTTATTTGACTTATTTAATTCGGTTATTGACTAATGCGATTTAAGTTGATGTATTATATACGAGGATAGGTAACATATATATATTTCGACAACGATCATTCATGTGATCTACTTGGAGTCAGATGCCGGGCCATTAAAATGGAGAGCCCATCAACATACATCGTCCGATCTAAATGACGACAAAATTAAGGGCTCCACAAAATGGTAAACAAACTTTCATAATTGTATAAGGGTACTGACCATTTTAAAATCGTAATTCATTTGTGTATTGTTTGTTTGAATTTTTCCCATTGATGATTACGTTTGCAATTGATCAGTTTCTTTATGGCATATGTTCATCCTGTACGGATTGCTTTCATATTACCTTACGTCAAAAGCATTATAAGTGAAGATGGATAGTGGCTAGCAGTTAAATTCAGGACGTGCGTTTCTTTCTATTTCAAAACTCGTCCGCTGGGGATGTACCGGAGTGAACATCAACTCTGAGATGCAGGTTTATCCAGCTGACGAGTCATAAATAGGACGAGATGCATGTCTTGGATTCCATTGCTAGCCACCATCCATCTTTACTTGTAATTTTAAAATATGTTTTGAATAATTACCATTTGAATTTATACTTTAAAAAATTAGTGCCAATGTGAATAAAGTCATAAATATTAATTTTATATTTTGCATTTTAGATTTTACTAAAAAATGAGTGTAAAATTCAAATGAAATCAGAGACTAGACAACCGACAATTAAAGAATCCGTCGATAATGAAATAACATCAACAGATGAACTGAAAGCCAATGTTATTGATTCAGTCACTGTGTTACATGAGCAAGGAAAGTAAGTTTACTGTTATTATCAAATATTGTATAGCATCTTATTTGAGATAAATATAATTGAAATTCTACCTATAATAACAATATATATGAACCATCCGTTTTTTTGAATTTCATTGAAATCATGAACCGATCTATGTTAGACCATTATTGAAAACTTGGAATCACTGGATGGCTGTATCGTCCTAATGTGGGACAGCTAAGCAATTCTCATCTACGACACTTCATACTGGATTCAAACCTAGGACCTTTGGTTTTCCACACGAATGCTTAACCTTCAGACCATTGAGTCTACATCAAACAGTGTTGACATCTATCTTCAATCAATTTACGACACTGTGTGACTATCTTCCATTGTTTGAATTGGTTAACTGCCTCACACCCTACACAAATTTGATCCACTGGTTACGGTTTGTCACTGGAACTCTAGAAATGCTCTCTCAAGACTGGTCACTAATGAGCACATTAGAAATGCCAGTAAGGGGTTGCGGAGAGTGTCAAATTTTGTTGGCAGACAGTTTTAAAAAAAAACGCTAAGTAATTAGGAATAATATTGGTGTTGTGAACCGACTAAATTTGGTTATCCTCTGAAAACTAGGAAGCACTTTATAGCTGTTTGAACTATTATGAAACACCTTAGCAGTACGCATCAAAGAGACAGGAGATCATTGGCCAAAATAACAATTACATACCTACGCCTGTTACTCCCTATGGATCATAGGCATCCAACCAACAGTTTACAACCCACTCTGTCCTGAGTCTCATTTCTAGTTCTATCCAATTGTTGTTCATTCTTCGCATGTCTATCTACATTTATTGGCCCAATGTGTTCTTTATTCTTCATCTTCTTTAACCTTGGGGATTCCAATTGAGGGCTTGCTTTGGGACGCAGTTGGGTACATTCCTCAATGTGTGTCCGATTCACTTCCAGCGTTTCTTCCTCCACTGGAATCTATTTTATTCTCTCCCATAGTGGGTTGTTACTGACCAATGGATCTGAAGTATTCTGTGTTGGCAACTGTTAATAATTACTTGTATCTTCTGGATGATGACTTTTATTGTTCTCCAAGTTTCCGCCTCATACATTAGAACTATCTTGGCATTTGTATTGAAAATTCTGAGTTTGGTGTTGGCATACAGACACTTGTTTTAAGTTCCGGATATTCTTCAATTGTCGGTATGTTGCTCTTGCATTGTCGATCTGTGCCTTCACATTTGCATAAGTTCCACTATGCTCGTCAATGATGTTGCGCAGATATGTGAAAGTTTTTACATCTTCATGCTGTAAAATCTTTGAAATGAAGAAATACAAAGAAGTCATTAGCACTAATACATAATAAACAACTTGTCTAGAGTTGACTGTAGTTAAAGATATAATTCAATAGATGTTAACTCAATCATTTAAATGTTAAACGCATACTAAAAGACCTTGAAGTGTCCTTGCTTTGAACCTTGGTGAATAAATGAGTACCCATTGCAGGCTACTTCAAATTTAAAACAAACAGCTGTAGAGATTCCTGCTTCCTAATAATACTCCAACTGATATTAGTCTGTGACAAATACGATCTACAAACATAAATATTATAAATTTATTCTAAATACTATTCATGATTGATGTGTATAGCGCGAATGATAATGATTGGTTATCTACTTAGTCAAACATGCAGATAGTCTGAATAGGTGTGTCAGATGAGTTATATATTCCCTTATCCTTATTATTATTACTCAGTTATTATTGATTGTTCATTGTTGTTGGATTGTTTCGAAATTTTGTTGTGGAAATATATTTACGTTCTAGTCAGGCTAATCACATGTTCTTTATCGTCCGAATTGTGTTGAAATCCTGTAGAAAGAATAGACAATGGAAGGGAATCTAGTGTAGATATTGGTTTAAGGTAAATTAACGTCTCATACGTGTTAATGTGTTAATCCAACCGTTCTAACATTAGACGAAGTAAGACCGAGTGTTATAACAACGATACAATAATTATCAAGTTCAATATACTTTTATTCCTCATCTAATCACAGTTTCTTAATATTAAACGTTAAAATAATCGGTAAACATTCAATATCAATACCAATACAGTAATAATAATAATAAATTATTATTAGTTTTTGTCCATCTAACTTTCAGTTTTCCATAGTTTTTCATATGTATAGATGAAAACAGAAAAAAAAAAACAAAAAAGAAAAGAAAACTCCGCACCCATATAAGTATTACACAATATGTCACTTTCTTTCATGTCATTTTATTAGACTTAAGAAGATTTGATCAATTTCATTATATTATCATTGTGTATACGTTTTTTTAAAAAATTTATTTTTTACATGTTTGTAACTATGAGTTTTTGTATTTGCACTTGTGTGTGTGTGTGTGCGTGCGTGCGTATATGTGGTTGTTAGTTTTGAAAACAAAAAAAAATAAAAAAAATAAAACAAAAATAAAAATTCCACCTTTCATATATGAACTGATTTATATGCATAGATTTATGTGTATATATTATTGATCTATCCTGAAAATAGATTCTTTATAATTTATGATATGAAAGTGATATTTATGAAAATAAATTAATAACAAAAAGAAACACACGACGTTAATCTTATCATGAATTCAATTTAATTTGATTATAAGATTATGGTTAGAGGTACTCAACAGGAAATCATGAACTTAAGTTTTGTGCTATTTAGCACTCATCATCAAAGTGTACCTGTATCACACAGCTTCACAGTCAGAGATGTTACCACTGAGTTATCCAGGTCTTGATTAACCTCCTGTAGGATTGAGATATATTCATAATGGATTAATCATTGAGTGGTGATCAATGTCATGTATTTCAGGTCCTTCTTGTTGACTACCTCTAACCAACATCTTAACTCAACATATAATGTACGCAATGTTGAGTCACTTAGACTAGTGGTCACATTGCAACTTGGTCGATAGGATTTAATCTGCACTAAGAAAGACCTGACATACATGACATTGGTCACTACCCAATGATCAATCAACTGTGATTAATTTGATTTTAGTTATTTTCGATTAATATGCACAAAATGAGATGAGTTGTTTAATCTTAAAATACCTGTCTTAAATGGCGATTTTATACTCTTCTATATATATTTAAGTATCAGAAGGGATTGTGTGGAGATTTTAGAAATTTCACTGGTTGAAATCATGAATCCATTGAAGCTAGACCACCATGGAAAAACTCCACACAATCCCTTATGATAATAATAATCATCTGCTCACTAGTGACTGACTTCAAGAGATACTCCTGAAGTTCTAGTGAGAAGCCGTTACCAGTGAAGTTCAACCAGGTCTGTTGTGAGATATCAGCTCACTGAAGACAATGGTGTACGGTGGCGCAACTTCGTGGATTGGTTGAAGTTAGACATTAACACCGTTGGATGCCGGATAGCTCAGTGGTCTAGTTGGTTAAGCGCCTGGCGCGATACTGATAGGTCGTGGGTTCGAATCTCGCGAGGAGCGGGATCGTAGATGCGCACTGCTGAGGAGTCCCATACTAGGACGAAACGGCCGTCCAGTGCTTCCAGGTTTTCCATAGTGGTCTAGCTTCAATGGATTCATGATTTCAGCCAGTGATATATTTAAGTGATATAAAACTTTTAAGTCACGTATATTAAGTCTTACTTCTACAAATGTTAAGATGTGTGGTGGTAGACTCCATGTTCAATGAGCAGTAAAATGAAGCTATCAACAAGGATTTAAGTTTATAAGTATATATATATATATGTAATATCACGTAATTTCCATCACTTCAAACAATCATTTCTTGTCTCATTTCAAATAATATAATTTATTTGAATTAAAAACTCTATACATCTATCTAGATACTCAAAGCACTGAATGGCCGTTTCGTCCTATAGTGGAACTCCTCAGCAGTGCGCATCTCTGATCTCAGGCTTCAAGATTCGAACTCAGAACCTGTCGGTCTCGTGCCCGAACATTTAATCTTTAACCCCAATTAAGCCATACTATTTGAGCTACAAATTTTAAGCCTGGACGTTGTTTGATTCTCCTATTAAATTGGATTCAGCTATACTGTATTGACTTGTCACCTAAAAGACTGGATGATGTTTAATTCTTCTCAAAAAATCAAATGTAAAATTACTCTAACTCACAAGGGTATATTATATAACATCTATATTATTTCTATTATTTAAATTCTATTGTATCATACAAAATATGTTCTTTCCTATGTTTTTTTTTCTGTTTTCGTTTTTAAATAAAACCCTCTGGATAACAATTTTACTTTATTTTAATAGAAGAAGAAATTTAAAAATAATTTTTTTTTCTATTTTTCTTTTTGTTTTTTTTTCTTTTTTGTAACTCAGGAAATTTAGAGAATTTATATCCGTACGAAAAACTAGAAACTCAGGTATGTGGTGGTTTTATAATTAACAAAAAAAAAAAAATAAAATTAATTCAAAAAAAATTTTTTTTTTATTGATTTAACCTAAGGGGAAAAAAATTTTTTTTTTTCGTAATGAATTTGATTATTTTTAGAGAAAAAAACAAAAAAAAACAAAAAAAAAAACAAAAAAAAGAACAACATTTCATAGTGATGTCAATGTATTCTCTTTCAATTATATTTTATAAGTTGATAAAATATTATTGTTTAATGGTAGAGTTGAATTAATTTATATTCTAATTCGAATAGATTAGTTAGTGTGTTATTGTTTGTTTGTTTGTTTGTTTTTTGGAGTTAATTTTCTATACATCAATTAAATTATATTTGATGGAAAAGTTTTGGAGGATTTAGATAGCTTTTAGTCAATCAATCAGTAATAACATAGAACTTTGTACATACGTACATACATTAGTTCGAGTTGCTATACTGCATTAGCATACAGATACAAATGTTGATTCAAATCCAATAGTGGTAGAAGTAGGTAAAGTATAAGCAGCAATCCTGAAAGATTAGGGTTTGAAGATGTTATTCAACTGAAATAAATTTGAAAAGAGAAAAAGAAAGAGACAGGAAGAATTCAGAAGATTAGAAATTGGGAGAACACAAAGAGTGGATGCACCTGAGCGAGCCATTTCAAACGATTTTGAGCCATGTCATTCAAGGTCTCTAACCATCGGTTGCTATCATTTCATGGATTCCAACCAGGTAGTCTACACCTACTAATATGGCTCACACAATCCACTTGTCAGTGACTTCATGGTCTTGTGGAATGTTTTTGTCTTGCCACTCTCAGCTTTCTTTCAACCTATTCCTAAACCACGAAACATCACATGTTGGGGTAGTCGGTGGTTGGGCATACGTAACACATGTCTCAGCCATCTCAAATGATGAAGTTTCACTACCACCCATTTCTTATAAAGCTATAGAACGTTTTATATATCTGTAAAGGTTCATTGATGAACACAGTGGATCTGATAAAGATATGAAGGCACGGATCGACAATGCAAGAGCAGCATATCTGCAACTGAAGAACATCTGGAAATCAAAACAACTGTTTGTCAACCAACACCAAACTCAGAATTTTCAATACAAATGTCAAGACAGTTCCACTGTATGGGGCGGAAACTTGGAGAACAATAAAAGTCATCATCCAGAAGATACAAGTAATTATTAACAGTTGCCAACACAAAATACTTCGGATGCGTTGACCAGATATTATCAGCAACAACCTACTGTGGGAAAGAACAAACCAGATTCTAGCGGAACAAGACTTGCTGGAAGTGGGCAGGACACATATTTACGAAAGCACAGAACTGCATCCCAAGACAAGCCCTCACATGACGTTCTCAATATCAAAGGAGAGGATGAAAAATGAAGAACACATTAGGCCGATAAATGTAGACAGACATGAGAAGAATGAACAAAAATTGGATAGAACTAGAAATGATACTCAGGACAGATTGTGTTGGAGAATGCTTGTGGGCGGCTTATGTTCCACTGGGAAGACATACAGAAAATAATAATGTATATTGCCACGTTATTGAAGTAGAATGTACTCTATTTTTGGATGAATAATTTAAGACATATCAACCACTTGAATAAGTTATATTTAGTCAAAATTCAAGACCTTCTTCAAATTATTTATACTTTCTTTTTTTAATATCCATTTCTGAGGTGATGTCTCTAGAGTCCAACAAAGTGATGAATTGAGTTGACAGGGTATATAGTTGGGATTTTCGAATTAAAGTATTCAACATGTTAAAATCAACGAACAGCAATTTTGTATTTGATTAAAACTTAACCTTAGTAAACCCTAATGATTACATCTATACTCTTCAAACCTTGCCTAAATCACCATATCATTGATCTAGATAAATATTTCAATCGCCTTACTTGATTTCTAATTTTAAAGATCTAGTAATGATGTCCATTATTTTGTTAATAAGAAGATTTTTAATATATTCATTATATGTCAACTTAGACATTCCAATGAATTTAGGAAATAGTTCTTTCTGAGATGGTAGAGAAGATTCGTATCTCAGGTGGATGATTTTGATGGAGTTTTATTCTCTGAGCTGAATGGTTTAGTCGTGGAGCTTTCATCATTCTTCTGAACGACATCATCAGCACAAACTTCAGATAGAAGTGAAGTGTTCAAATTTCATCACATATGGTTCACAGCTTGTCCTGTGGACTTCGATATTGATTGGTTCTAGTTGACTTTAAACCTGTCATTGTTTACTTCTTTATTTTGTCTTTTTCTTTATCACTGAACTGAAACGTCGAGTCACAATTCATTCACATTATTTTAGATAATAGTATACCGAACTGAAAATCATCTGATGTTGTATGCATGAACAACAGAACTAAAATTATTTGACTCAACACTTTTATTGATTGAATGTAAAAAACAAACAGATCAACTGATTATGAAAAATTAAATATGATCAAAAATCAATTTCTAACATAAAACAGTAGTATATTGCAATAATCATTCACTAAACCATTTGAATTATAGATCTATATCAGTTATCAGATAATGATATCTGTAGATTTCAGAAAACATGTATGATTCAATGTTGAATTAAACAATCTTTCGAAATAAGAATTCAATCTTCTGTTTACTTGTTGATACTGACTGATAGGTGAGACTACAATATGTGGACAATTTGTGAGCAACACTAAAATGACCTTGAAGATGTCCACCTATTTACCAGGGTTCAATAAAGGTTATTGGTTAGTGTGAGCAATCAGTCAGTCAGCTACAATGTTGGATCAGGCACATATATGCATTAGTTCGAATTGCTATACCTCATTAGCACAACAAGATGAAAACATAATTCATAGAAGTATTTCATTCACTGGTGGGATGAGGAACTAAGATTAGGATTTACAGTTGAATGTTAGGATTAAGAAGTAGATCACGAACTGACATAAACTATAATGCCAAAACGCTATTAAGCCAAATGACTGAATAAAATTGAAAACGTGCTATCCCAAATCTGATTGGTTCATTTACAAATTATAGTTTCACTTATTTCCAAAAAAAATGTTGATAAGTATATAATCATAGATGGGTTTTTGTGGATATTATTAGTAATATAATAGTTGATTTCATGAGTCAATTGAAGCTAGACCACTATGGAAAACCTGGAAGCACTGGACGGCCGTTTCCTCCCAGTTTGTGCTTTCTCAGCAGTGTTCACTCACGATCCCGTTTCGCGAGATTTGAACCTAGGATCAATCAGTCTTGCGCGCAAAAGCTTAACCTCTAGACCACTGAGCCAGCCGACATTCAATGGTGTTGATATCTAATTTCAACCAATCCACAAAGTTGGGTTCGAATCTCCCAAGACAGGATCATGGATGAGTACTGCTGAGTAGTTCAATACACTGAACAAAACCACCATCCAGATCTTCTAGGTTTTTCATTCTAATCTCGCTTCAATTGATTCATGAATTCAATTATTAGATTAATAAATATATGTTCAGATTTTACAAAACAAACAAACAAACAAACAAAATAAACTAATCTTAACACAAACTATTATGATCTTCTTTAATAAAACTTTCATTGAAATCAGTTAGTTGATTATTCTTAAAATGAATGACATAGCAACAACCAAAAAACAAAAAAAAACTTTTTTTTTTCCATTCAACTGTTTCAACTTGTGCACAACATTGATGATACACATTCATGTCATAAATAACAAAAATTTTTTTTAAAAAAAATACGGCTGAATTTATTTAAGTAAAGAAAAAGGTTTCAAATTCATCATAATTCTATTGTTCATTTATACATTAAAAAGTTTTTTTGTTTTTTTTTGGTTTTTGTATTTTTTTTTGAGAAAAAAAATGTTTTTTTTTCGTTTTTTTCCTAATTCTGTTTAACTAATAAACAAAGTCACATTTAAACATTTAAAATAAAACAAAATTAAAATAATGAAGAAGAAGAAAAAAAGAGAAAAGAACATAAATGAAATTAACTATTTCTACATTGAGTAATAACTGCGGGGGGGGGGAAAGAATAAAACATTACAGAAGAGAAGAGAAGGAGGAGGAGAATTATAGAGAAAATAACTAAACAAATTAATCGATAAAAATATTGTAGAGGTGAAAAAATTGTAAAAAAAACTTATGATAATTTTTAATTGATGAGTTCAGATTTTCAATCAGTCTGCTACAATGTAGGATCAAGCACACATATATGCATTGGTACAAGTTACCATACCTCATTAGTACAACAAGATGAACAACGAATTCATAGGAGTGGTTAAGTAAATGGTGATAATATATAAAGGAAAGATTGCATATAAGCACATAGTACAAGAAGAAAGAATTAGTTGGTAAAATGAAAGATATAAAGCAATTTTAATCTCATAGTTTAAGGGAAGATATAGAGTGTATACACCTACGCTATTGTGAGCCATGCCACACAGAGTCTCTAGTCATTGATTACTATAGTCACGCAGACCTCAACCAAGTATTCTTCATTTACCAACATGGCTCAAAATAGAAGTTAGTGACTTCAATAACTGATGCCACGTTTTGGTTTGGCCGCCACTAACTTTCTTCCCATTATCCCTAACACCGGTTAGCATTGCGCGTCGTGGTAATCGGTGTTCAGGCATACGCAACACGTGGCCCAACCATCTCAGTCGATAAAGACTCACAACATCAATTGATTTACCATCGTTACCCGATACCTAGCGTCTAACCTCAGTATTACTTACCCGGTGATCCCAGCAGATACCAGCAATATTTCTAAGGCATCTGTGGTCAAATACTTGTAGCTTACGAGTATCTTCAACTCTTAATGGCCATGTTTCGCAGCCTTAAATTAAAAAAAAACGAACTGCTGCTCAGTATACTCGACCCTTAATCGATAGACGGATATCTCGCCTTTGCTATAGGTGAGGTAAGTTGGCAAAGGCCAAACGAGCTTTTTGAATCCGTGCTGAGATTTCGTCAGACACCAACCCATTTAGGCTGATCAGATTTCTGAAATAAATAAATTTGTCGATGCGTTCGATTTTAGTCTTGAATTAAACTGCATAATGTAGAGTAAAGATTTTAATTCTTCTTAATTTCTGTAAATGAGTTTCTCTGAGTTAACTTTAGTTGAGAGTTTAGATCTTTTTGAAGTTATAGATTGTCTATGATATAATATGAATAGATTAGAATTATGAATTTATAACATAAAAATGTAAAACAATTATGATTAATTTCTTTCAGTGTTCCATGTTTCGTTGAAAAGCTGGAGTATACTTACAATTGATTAATCACTGGGTAGTGACCAGTGTCATGTGCTGATTGAATTCTCAATGTAGTCTACTTTGACTAGTGGCTACATCTAAACTTGAACGATAGAATTTGATCATCGCTAAAAGCGATCTGACAAACATGATATTGGTGATTGCCCAGTTGTAGATATATCTCAGTGCTAAAGAAGGTCAGTTACTGCTCGATTAGCTCAGTAGTAAAGTCTTTAAATGTGAGATTGAGTGGCAAGAGATCAAATCCACCAAATAGCATCATTTCCATCACCATTGTAAGTACCTATTGATGATGAGTGCAGAATAACAGGGTTTTCTGTTGCCTAACACCTTACAGTGGGAGAATATAAGAAGACAATACTTAGTCTTTAAATTTAAAGAATTTTTATTGAGTCAAAATGCAGCTGTTTGCATAAAATCTCAACCAAACTTAAATTTCAATAGAAACTGATCTCGTGCTTTGTGCCAATGTAATAAATAAATTGTTCATAATGATCATACAAACTACTTAAAAGAATCGATCAAAACTGAAGGGAGAGAAATATATCAGTGATGTAAAATGTTAATCTGTAGAATTATGGTCCACTATGTTATTGGTACTGCTCTAATAATAGACTTAATCCTAAAATTGTAGATTTGTTATCATGTAACTGCCTAATCTATAAGATCTCACGTGCAAATCACATCATCTTCTACACCAACTCACTGCATCTTAACAATTACCAACAGATGAAGGAGAAGAATTTCAGGCTAGAGATGGAACAATATATTTTATATGAATAAAATAAATAAGTTAACATTCAACAGGGACCACGCCTGCATGGCCGAGCCATGCTATGCGATCAACTCCGATTCATTCAATTCATTGTTCCCACCTTCTCCATCCTTGTGTATTTCTCCGCGTTAAATGTTGAATGTCTATCTCCAATATTGTCACGTGTTAGGGCCCAATGCCACTACAAATCCACTGTATTGATTAATTGTTTTTTTTCATGATCAGTAACCCGTTACTTAAAGCAAAGATCTTGTATCTCAATACATTACTAGTGAATAAGCTATATTAAAGTGTTTTAACTTATGTGAGTAGTTTTCTGAGGGTTGACTTATTCATTGGAAGATAGTTATCATTCTGCACCCACATAAATCATTTAAGCAGATATGCATAGAACAGCTATAGTTTTGAATTATTTTTTCATATAATTGTGTAGACAACAAGAACATAAATGGAGTCGATCTAATATTTGCAAATACAAAATTATAGAATGTCTTTGTAAAATCTAAGAACCATACAATAGATACTTTATTTGCAAAATGTCAACCAATCGTCTGAGACTTCATTGTTCTTTCGTTTCCACACCAATCATTTACTGTTTTCGTTCTCTTTCCTTTGATCTTCTTAACCTTCTGCCTCCATACATTTCACTTTCGATTGATGATACATACTACTTATATCTATCGATATCAGTAGCACACAGAACAATAGAACAATATGGTTCTACATTTCATTTATACATACATTCATTATTGTATTTATATCAAGAGAGATCTAAACAGATGAACGTCTTGTTAAATGCTAAGAAAATATGCTAAAATCTTAACATTTGTAAAATATATTTTGTTCATTATCTAATGAACACATTAATCTCTCTAAAGTTTATTAAGAAACCCAGTGGGGTTACTTGAAAGCGTTTTAGTTTATGATATTAAAATGAATTATTTGTTTATTGAATAATCTTTTGATAATTTATAATCAGAAAGGGTTTTTGTGGATACCATAGTCTAGTTTCAATTGACTCATGATCTCAACTATTAAAAAAATTACTATAATATCCACATAAACCACTTCTGATACTAATCAGTATGTGCTCACTAGTAATTGCCTTCAAGAGGGATTTCCTAAAGTTCAAGTGTTTGTTGTGAAGCAGTGACTCACTGAAGACAATGGTGGATGTCACTTAATTTCATAGTTTAGTTGAAGTTAGATATTAACTGCTTTGGATGCCGGTTCAGTGGTCTAGAGGTTAGGCGTTCGCGTGAAAGACTGATAGGTCCTGGGTTCGAATCCAATGAGGCGGGGTTGTGGATGTGCACTTTTGAGGAGTCCCTTACTAGGATGAAACATCCATCCAGTGCTTGCCAGTTTTCCATGGTGGTCTAGCTTTAATTGACTCACGAATCCAACTAATAAATTACTATAATATCCACGAAACCTCTCTCTGATTATAACTTTAATTAAGACAAAATTTGAAAGTGTTATAACTTGTGACCCGCCGATTAGGGAGCAGCGAATTATTGATCGAAACAGTGAAGCATAAAACACGTGCGAGCAGCCTAGAGTCCTGATTGGCCCTGCTTCCCTGTTGAGTCCAGAACAAAAATCTTAGCCTCGGTGATATGGATCGTTATATTTCAAACATACTCTGTTTATATACCAATCACACAGACCACATCGTACCATAAAATAGAAAATAACATTTGTACAAGATTTGACCAACAGGAAAATGACACATGATTTGAGATATTCAGAAAATACCCCAGAAATGATCTAATGCTATTCCTGAATGAGAAATGGTGTCATTTACCCATTGGTCAATATTCTTCCAATATGTCATTTTCCTATTGGTCAATATTTATTTTTGTCATTTCCTTGAGGTCAAATCTTGTACAAATGTTACTTACTATTTTATGGTACAATGTAGTCTGTTTGTTTGGTATATAAACAGAGTATGTTTGAAATATAACGATTCATGTCACAGAGGCTAAGACTTGCGTTCTGGACTCAACTGGCTTGACTAGACAGGGAAGCAGGGCCAATCAGAACTCTAGGCTGTTCTTACGTGTTTACGCGTCTTTGGTCCGATCGATAATTTGCTGCCACACTCCTCACTGTCCTCTCTAATTGGCGGGACACAGATATAACAATTGGCAGCCTTCAATATAACAACGTGAAATAAATATTGACCAATAGGTAAATGATACCATTTCAAGTCCAAGGAGAGCATTAGACTTAACAGGATAATTTTTGGGTTATTTTTCTGATTATCCCAACACAAATTTTCATATCTCATATGATACTAGGACTTAACAGGGTCGGCGTTTCCAGTTTTTCCATTGTGACTTATTTTAGATCAATTCATAGTTTCAAATTAATTCGACACTGATAATAAATTACTAATAAAATAACTATTTTTGTATTTACAAATATTGTACTACTGAAATAACTACTTATTACAAATGAGTGTATTTCAAATTCTAACGGTTGACTGCATAATGGAGTTTTTATTCAGACGAAATTAATCGTTATACAACAATTCATTTTATTATTGATTAATTTATCGAGTTTAATCAATTATTTACCATTTTGTAATGAATTTTGAATGTAATTCACTAGTAGCTAGGACAATAATGAAAATACTTACATCAAATGTGATCTAGATTAAAAGCTCTTCATTAGTATACATAGAGATCATATTAAATCATGTGCTCACTAGTGACGGTCTCCAAGAGGTATTTCCTGAAGTTCTAATGAGAAACACTGACCAGTGGAGTTCAACTGGGTCTATTATGAGTTAGTAATTCATTGAAGACAATGGTGGATAGGTCGCTCAATGGTTATGCTTACCTTTATTATTATTATTATTAGTTTTAACGTTGACCAGATATTATTTCTCGTTTGATAATACTTCATTTGATTATATCCTTTTATAATACCAAGACATATATATATAAACTACAAATATATCCATTTCCATATAACAAATCCTATTGAAATGATAAAGATGATTTGTAGATCAGGCAAATTATTCTGGTAGAGTTTTATTCTTTAAGCTAGATGGTTTAGTCATGGAACTTTCATGGTTCGGAAGTACAGTCTTCAACGACATAGATCAATGTACTAATGTACCTTCAAAAACATACAAATTAAAACAATAAAGAAAAACAATGTGAGAGACAAAATCTTCTCCACACATGTTGACAATTCGAACCAGTCTTAAAATTATTAATACTTATTATTACTTGTGTTTTTATATACTTTTAACTGTCATCAATGTATTCTGTATTCTGATTGAGATCATGAACCAATTAATGTCAGACCACCATTGAAAACCTGGAAGCACTGAATGGCCGTCTCGTCCTATTGTGAGACTCCTCAGCAGTGTGCATCCACGATCCTGCCCTCAGGACTCGAACCCAGAGCCTTAGGTCTCGCGCGCGAACGTGAACCTACAGGACCACTGAGCCAGCGTCTAATGGTGTTAATGTATAACCTCAACCAATCCACGAAGTTGCGCAACCATCTTCCATTGTACTGAGGTAGACACCTGTTTCTATCCGACACGGATTAGCTCCACTGGTCACGGCTTCTCACCAGAACTCCGAGAATTTTCTATATTCATTTTGGGAACAATGTTTTTATATTAATCTATCTGTTGTTTTTTTTTAGATACAAACAATATTGTCAGTTTAAGTGCGTTATTACATTCTAGATGTCCAGATTTTTCATCACCAATGTGTAAAGTGAGTTTTATAGATGTTCTTAGTGATTATTCACACAATTCTTAATGTTGAATTGTAGCATTAATTTTATTTATCAAAAAATTAATAACTTATCCTTTAATGTATATATTTAGAAGACAGAAAAACACAGTAACTATAGTCTGTGTGACATCACTACTTACTTACTTACCTCCCTATCTACTTACGCCTGTTACTCCCAATGGAGCATAGGCCGACGACCAGCATTCACTTTGTCCTAAGCCTTCATTTCTAGTTCTATCCAATTGTTGTTTATTCTTCCCATGTCTGTCTCCATTTCTTGGCGTAATGTGTTCATCGGTCTTCCTCTTCTTAAATATATTTACTAAATATATCTTTACAAAATAATGAACTAATTTATTCCACTTAATTACTTGCACAAAATAGGGAAGGGTTTCATAAAAACTTAGTAACTACACAAAGTACTGTTAAATGAATAAGTAGTATGTTTTAATTGTCTAAAATCAAAGCGTTTATGATTATGTAAACATCCCTAAATTTACTTAAGCCTGTTACTCCCAAGGGAGCATTGGCCGCCGACCAGTATTCTCCAACTCACTCTGTTCTGCGGCTTCCTTTATAGTTCTATCCAATTTTTATTCATTTTTCTCATATTTGACTCCATTTCTTAGAGTAATGTGTTCTATGGTTTTCCTCTTTTTCTTTGACCATGAGGAGTCCATGTGAGGGCTTGTCTTGTGACGCAGTTCGGTGCTTTCCTCAATATGTGTCTTATCCACTTCTAGTGCTTCTTCCTGATTTCTTTGTCCGCTGGGAATTTCTAAAGTTAATGCATAGATATAAAAATACACGAGTCGATTAATTCTAATGGAGATTAACTGTTGAACTCATTTTAACACATTATTTATATAGACTACTATTCCAGGATACCATCACTATTCTTCTCCTGAATGTTGATATTTTTCACTCGATAATGTGTTGTATTCTATAGCTTGTGAAAAATTTATATTTTTATGTCCAGTTAATATTTTGTGGTTTGGTAAATTTTAATGTTTTGCCTGTTTATATCAGAAATTCATTTACTTTGAATCTCTCTCAGTTCGTATCATTCACTAACTTGACCCGGAAAATTAAGTAGAATAAGACAGCTATTTCATCCTGGTATGGATGACTTATTACCTTTAATTAGTTTCTTAACCAAAGATGACTATCTGAAAATTAAGAAATATTTAAAATCTCTCATGTTTGTGCAATGAAAAGTGATGAGTTGAAATGTTGTTGCAATTACATCTCACTTGAAAGAACACATATCCTATATAAGTTGGACGTTACCATCCTTTGAAGCTTGTCTTAGAGATACTCTGTGTTCATCAAAAAAAAAACAAGATAAATTAGGTAACGTTATTTATATGAATTTGTTACGACTAAGTCATATTGTCATTGTAAGAACAGTTAGTTTTCTTGATTTACTGTGTCAGCCATCTACATATAAGTTTGCTATTTTCTCGATTCGACCTGTTTGAATTTTGTACAATAGATGGTTGTTACAAAACTGGAGAGAAAATAGGTGTACAAGTCATATATATATACATATGCGCCACACAAATCATTCTATTTGTGTGTGGTCTGTGATACTGCCATAGGTGTCTAAACCGAAGCAGGTGATTTTCTTACGATGCTACGCTCGAAGACTTCAACCTAAAGATCTGATCCAAAAGGCAGTGGAACATCGTAAGGAGATACAGTCCCATGGTAACCGGTGACCGACGATTGGTTCATACGCCATTTGTTCCCTCATGATACTGAAGCCCATGTACACCATTGGTTTGGAATCAGGGTTTCCCAATTCCTATAGATGGACCATAAACCCGGTTAAAGCATCGGACATTGGCTTGTCGTCCTCTCAGTTTTGTAAACAACGGTAATGTAGCGAGAAGGCGGTGAGTAGAACTTCCCTAGTAGTGACTGAATAAGCGTAGCTATGTGAGAGCGTCTCTATAGGAAGAGCTGACTCTCACCACCCTCAACCATATCAGGACATTTAGGGGTTACGAATTATATTATTAAAATCAGTTGAATAATTGGTTAAAATCTTCATGAAATTGATTTTTCTTTGTTTTTGTTTTATTTTTTTTTTTCATTATTTCAGGTAATTGGAATTTTAAACTCTGCACGTGTTCGTAGTCCATTACCAGTAGCAAAAGATTTACAAAAAGCTATTAATTTAATATGCAGTTCAAATGTATTTGTGGATCAAATAATGAAACCATTAAGTCGAACAAATGATCCTATTACAGCAGATTTAATTGAAGGTTTGATAACTGTAAGTTTAATCATTAATGTTAAATGGATCCAATCAATTTATTTCATAGATCTTTCTATGAAATCAGATTAGATGATTGATAATTAATAATAATAATAATAATAATAATAATAATAATAATAATCAACTTTTACTTACATGACGTATGAGTCTTTCAGTTTAACTTTGCAAGAGACAACTTTAAGGTGTTCAGTTTCTGTGTGATTATTATTTTAAAGGATGTTTATCCAAGTTTTACCTACTTCCGTACGTTTAATTATTGATTAGGAGTTTGTTATTTCATTATTCTTATCATTCGTTCATTTACTTAATATAAGTAGTTACTGAATTTGTTTCATTGTGATCATTGACTAAGAAAATTGATTGAATTGTTTTGATGTTTCCATGTAACTATTCCTATATATCTGGGTAAAGTTTGATGATGATCTAATCAAATAGAGTATTGTTCACTTATTTACTTATGCCTGTTACTTCTAATAAAGTATAGGCCGATGACCAGTATTCTCCAACCCACTCTGTCCTGTGATTAGCTTTCCAGGTCTATCCAATTGTTGTTTATTCTTCTCATGTGTGTCTTCATTTCTCAACGTAACATGTTCTTTAGTCCTCCCGTTTTCCTTCGACCTTGAAGATTCCAGGTG